ACACACACACACACACTATATACACACACACACACATTATACACACACATTATACACACACACACATTATACACACACATTATACACACTATACACACAATATACACACACATTATACACACTATACACACACATTATATACACACACACACATTATACACACTATACACACACACATTATACACACACACACACTATATACACACACGTATTATACACACACACACATACATGCACACATATTATATACACACACATACATGCACACACACACATTATATACACACACACATACATGCACACATACATTACATACACACACACTACACACACACACACACTACATACACACACACACTACATACACAGACACACACTACACACACATTATATACACACACATTATACACACACACACTATATACATACACATACACACATATTATATACATATTATACACACACATTATATACACACACACATATATTATATACACATATTATACACACACACACACACACACATTATATACATATTATACACACACATTATACACACACACACATATTATATACACATATTATACACACACACACACACACACATTATATACATATTATACACACACATTATACACACACACACATATTATATACACATATTATACACACACACACACACACACATTATATACATATTATACACACACATTATACACACACACACATATTATATACACATATTATACACACACACATATTATATACATATATATTATATACACACACATACACACATATTCTACACACACACACACATATATATTATATACACATATATTATACACACACACATATTATACACATATATATTATATACACACACACGCATTATATACAAATATATTATATACACACACATTCTACACACACACACACATATATATTATATACACATATATTATACACACACACATATTATACACATATATATTATATACACACACACGCATTATATACAAATATATTATATACACACACATTCTACACACACACACACATATATATTATATACACATATATTATACACACACACATATTATACACATATATATTATATACACACACACGCATTATATACAAATATATTATATACACACACATTCTACACACACACACACATATATATTATATACACATATATTATACACACACACATATTATACACATATATATTATATATTATATACACACACACACATTATATACATATATATTATATATACACACACACTATATACACACATATTATATACATATATTATACACACACACACACATTATACACACACACACATTATATACACACACATTATATACATATATATTATAAACACAGACACACATTATATACATATATATTATACACACATATTATGCACACACACACATTATATACACACACATTATACACACACATATACATATATATTATACACACACACAC